GTTGCTGGGGTAACCAACAACGGATGCTTGAAATCGCCGACGAGCTTAAAGTCAAGGAAACTCAAAACAACGGCGGTCACGCAAAACACGGCAAATATAGCAGCCGTTGAATTTTTAGACCTCCTCAATTATATTTGGGGTAGCTAGTGACTCAACAGGTTTTTGCCATGATTAGTTTTTATTTTATTTAATGCAGGAGAAGGCAAAGGTTCAATACCATTAACATTTTTTTTTTTTTAATTTTTTATTCAATCATTTTGAACCTAGTTTTGTTAGTCGGATTTGAATCAAATTCAACACCTATTATCTTCTCAAATATCTCGCACTCTTCGTTAGTCCAGAAAGTCTTTACTCTCGTTATTGTTGTACTTCTGGGTATGCAGTTACAGTTGCAGCACTCTACTAAATACTGACTCTTGCGTCCCCGTTCGCGCACTGTGAGAAATGTGCGAGATGCGGTAACCAACTCGTGAGAAACCTTGGTTCACGGCAGAAAGGGAAGAGACTTCGGTGTGGCTACTCCGACTTATACGGTTTAAAGGCTTACTAAAGTTAGCATGCATCTGTTCAGCAGTGAGTTGTGCGCTGGGCTTGGGAGCCGTAAGGTAAAAAAAAGATCCCACGGAAAACCAAAAACCACCTCGGCTAATTGCCCCTCCAAACTTTGACGACCCATCATCACTCGAAACAAGGACTACGCTTTACGGAAATGTGCCTGGAATGTCCTCACTCTCCAAAGGAAAGGTGCCTCTGCCCAAGTGCTTGTTTGCCTAGAGAAATACCAGTCTGACATCACCACCGTACTGGAAATGCGATGGACGGGCATGATTGCCATGAGACGGCGCAGAAATTAGGTGTGGGAGTTGTAGTTGGGCGGAGTCCCCGACATCTTTTATCCATAAGTGAACGAATTTCTACAGTCTCCATGACAACACGCCCGACAACCGAGAAATAGTTATCGACTTTCGCGCAGCACAGAACATGGTAGTCATAAACGACACCCGAAAGCTTTCGCAATCAACTTCTCATTGACCGGATGAACATACATAAATGAGCAGTGGGAATCGATCTCCCACTCTCATCGCACCGCTGCGGTTGGCTACTATCATCCATACATTCACGGCTGGTATGACGAAAAGTGATGTGCTGCTGCTACAGATAAATACGGATCTGTAAGCTTTAGGGGCAGCTGCCATTTCCCCTTCCTGGCTACGCCCTGCTCACTCAAAGTAGCTGACCCAAATCTTTCAAAAATAAATATAATCCATTATTTCATCAATTTTGATATAGCAAGCCTTAAAACCGCAGCACTATCACGTAGGGAGGGCAAAATTTAAATACTTTTTCAGAGGTTTTGTCCGCATTTTCTTTTAAAAACTTTCATAAACAAAAAATCGTAGGTTATGTAAGATGTATGTATTTTTTTAAATTTTATTTATTTAATTTATATTCAAATACTTTGAGCG